AGACACGCAAACTCCAAATATACAGCAGCAGGCGTCAGGGTCGGGATCGAACCACGACCACGTGTAGACCAGGCGAGGTAGTTTACATCTCCTAGCCACCGTGGCGCCAATAACTATACATAGCAGTCAATACTCTAAACGCGTGATGTAGATTCTAAATGTGGAGGGAAAACCGGAGGACACGGAGAAAATCCACGTGACCACGGGAGAGAGATGTGGGTCAGACAAAGCGGCGGGGGGGGGGACTATAATTATTGCGTTCGTAAATCGATTTGTTTGTAAGTCCAACTTTACTCCTGTCGATCCCAACACGTTGTACGGATTGTACACTGAACACGGGGAATTACTTTACAAGGTGTCTAATCTCCTGTAGACGTAGATGCCACTGGTTCTTCACGTTCTGCAGATGTAGATGCCACTGGTTCTTCACGTTCTGCAGATGTAGATGCCACTGGTTCTTCACGTTCTGCAGATGTAGATGCCACTGGTTCTTCACGTTCTGCAGATGTAGATGCCACTGGTTCTTCACGTTCTGCAGATGTAGATGCCACTGGTTCTTCACGTTCAGATGTAGATGCCACTGGTTCTTCACGTTCTGTAGATGTAGATGCCACTGGTTCTTCACGTTCTGTAGATGTAGATGCCACTGGTTCTTCACGTTCTGCAGATGTAGATGCCACTGGTTCTTCACGTTCTGCAGATGTAGATGCCACTGGTTCTTCACGTTCTGTAGATGTAGATGCCACTGGTTCTTCACGTTCTGTAGATGTAGATGCCACTGGTTCTTCACGTTCTGCAGATGTAGATGCCACTGGTTCTTCACGTTCTGCAGATGTAGATGCCACTGGTTCTTCACGTTCTGTAGATGTAGATGCCACTGGTTCTTCACGTTCTGCAGATGTAGATGCCACTGGTTCTTCACGTTCTGCAGATGTAGATGCCACTGGTTCTTCACGTTCTGCAGATGTAGATGCCACTGGTTCTTCACGTTCTGCAGATGTAGATGCCACTGGTTCTTCACGTTCTGTAGATGTAGATGCCACTGGTTCTTCACGTTCTGCAGATGTAGATGCCACTGGTTCTTCACGTTCTGCAGATGTAGATGCCACTGGTTCTTCACGTTCTGTAGATGTAGATGCCACTGGTTCTTCACGTTCTGCAGATGTAGATGCCACTGGTTCTTCACGTTCTGCAGATGTAGATGCCACTGGTTCTTCACGTTCAGATGTAGATGCCACTGGTTCTTCACGTTCTGTAGATGTAGATGCCACTGGTTCTTCACGTTCTGCAGATGTAGATGCCACTGGTTCTTCACGTTCTGCAGATGTAGATGCCACTGGTTCTTCACGTTCTGTAGATGTAGATGCCACTGGTTCTTCACGTTCTGCAGATGTAGATGCCACTGGTTCTTCACGTTCTGCAGATGTAGATGCCACTGGTTCTTCACGTTCTGTAGATGTAGATGCCACTGGTTCTTCACGTTCTGTAGATGTAGATGCCACTGGTTCTTCACGTTCTGCAGATGTAGATGCCACTGGTTCTTCACGTTCTGCAGATGTAGATGCCACTGGTTCTTCACGTTCTGCAGATGTAGATGCCACTGGTTCTTCACGTTCTGTAGATGTAGATGCCACTGGTTCTTCACGTTCTGTAGATGTAGATGCCACTGGTTCTTCACGTTCTGTAGATGTAGATGCCACTGGTTCTTCACGTTCTGTAGATGTAGATGCCACTGGTTCTTCACGTTCTGCAGATGTAGATGCCACTGGTTCTTCACGTTCTGTAGATGTAGATGCCACTGGTTCTTCACGTTCTGTAGATGTAGATGCCACTGGTTCTTCACGTTCTGCAGATGTAGATGCCACTGGTTCTTCACGTTCTGTAGATGTAGATGCCACTGGTTCTTCACGTTCTGCAGATGTAGATGCCACTGGTTCTTCACGTTCTGCAGATGTAGATGCCACTGGTTCTTCACGTTCTGTAGATGTAGATGCCACTGGTTCTTCACGTTCTGTAGATGTAGATGCCACTGGTTCTTCACGTTCTGCAGATGTAGATGCCACTGGTTCTTCACGTTCTGCAGATGTAGATGCCACTGGTTCTTCACGTTCTGCAGATGTAGATGCCACTGGTTCTTCACGTTCTGCAGATGTAGATGCCACTGGTTCTTCACGTTCTGCAGATGTAGATGCCATTTCTGCAGATGTAGATGCCACTGGTTCTTCACGTTCTGAGATGTAGATGCCACTGGTTCTTCACGTTCTGCAGATGTAGATGCCACTGGTTCTTCACGTTCTGCAGATGTAGATGCCACTGGTTCTTCACGTTCTGCAGATGTAGATGCCACTGGTTCTTCACGTTCTGAGATGTAGATGCCACTGGTTCTTCACGTTCTGAGATGTAGATGCCACTGGTTCTTCACGTTCTAGATGTAGATGCCACTGGTTCTTCATGTTTTGTAGAAGTAGATGCCACTGGGGTCTTCATGTTCTGCAGATGTAGATGCCACCACCACTACCATCAATTGCAGGGTGGTTGAACTGACTCCTCTCGGTCCGAACAGGCGACTGGATATACGGACCAGGTTTATTTCGTCCCTCAGAAAGTTTGGAAGTCGAATGTTCGAGTCCCTGTATTGATTATGCGATTCATAAATTTAATATACCGAGGGGGCGGAGGGGGTGCTTTAAAATCGCCGCAACAAATGCAAAAAACGCCACGCGGAATCCCAGCAAGGCATGAATTATTGAAACTCCGCTTTAGTCTGTCCGCGTGTAAGGTGGACGCGGCGCCAGAGTGGCTGAGGCAACTATAAGAGCCCCACTCACCGGCCGATGGTACCGCAAGTGGTTACCGGTGGGTCGTGCATTATTGATGCCCCCCCGCATGAGATGTCCATCGATTTTTTTTCTCTCTCGTAGTTGTGTGGCGGGCAGGAAAGGAGAGAGGGACGGAGGGAGGGGTGGTGGAAAAGCAACGGCGTCGAAATGCGTTGTCTTTGTGGTGGTTTAAACGCTCAATCAGTTCAATCTGAGCTGACGACGAGGAGGACGAGGAGGATGATGATGAGAGGCAGTGTGATACCCGGCTACCCGTACCCGACCGGTACGGGTAGCCGGGTATCGGGTAGGTACGGGTATCGGGTACCCGGTTGCGACCTCTGCCCGGCAGTGCCTGTTGTCTGACAGCTGGAGACAC